CTCATGGCGAAATCAGTCGAAATTCCCTGTCGCATCGTTAAATATTTGAACGTAACAACTTCAATATTGAAATAGCAATCATAAATACGAATGCTGGTCGCCATTTAAAGAAGTAACGAGGTACAAATGAAAAGTGTTTCAAATTACCTACTTTTCCCACTTCTGTCTTCCCTTCTGTCTTTCATTTTCTCATTGAAACCAAGTATCGCTTTTTTTTAAATATGTATTTTATCTTCTCATGCAATCAAAACGGAATAGTCTATTATTTATGAGGTATTAGCAGGAGACGTTAAACGCCTCTTTCATTCTTTCTTTCTTACTTTTTCACTGAAACCGGGTAACGTTTCTGATATGTCTTTCAACGTGATCAAAACGGAATAATCCATTATTTATGAGACATTAGCAGGAGACGTTAAACACTTCTCACATTCTTTCTTAGTTTTTCACTGAAACCGGGTAACGTTTCTGATATGTCTTTTAACGTGATCAAAACGGAATAGTCTATTATTTATGAGGTATTAGCAGAAGACGTTAAATGCTTCTTTTATTCTTTCTTTCTTAATTTCTTTTTTACTGAAACCGAGTAACGTTTCTGATATGTCTTTCAACGTTATCAAAACGGGAAATGTCCATTATTTATGAGGTATTGGCTGAGCGTAACGGTCATGCGAACTAAGTTACTAATGAAAGAAGAGACAAGGACAATTATTATATGATGATAAATATATAGATATTTGTGTACTAACTCTTCTTCTTCTTTACACTCTCCCCCCACATTATCCGATCGATCATTTTATCAGTATCCGTCTGCTTCGTTGCTGATCAATCTATTGCTTTTTATTCGTGAATTATTCTTATCAGACAAATGAATCGAACTGATACACGTCACGCAAGCGCAAATCTCGAGAGAATGTACGAGAGGCGCCAGAGGTTAGCAAAATTTGCCTGAGAAAATTTCTTTGTATTTTTGTTCTTTTCGTGTGTGCGTGGTTTTGTTAAATCTTATCAGTGGTCTGAGATTTTCAATGGCTTGAAGCCAATGTCCGCTAACAAGAACACACTAAGACGACTCATTTATAAGTTGAAAAATAGCATATATGACCCTGATTTTTTTTCACAGAGAATGGCTCAAAAATATCTCCCGGGTCTTTTCTTCAAAACTGATAGACGTTTGTTTACCAAGATGCCGTAACCTACTAGTCATTGTACATAACCTAAACGCATAATCCTTCCTTACCGAATCTCTTCAAGACGTGAATGATTATGGCTCTCCACAACTTCCTCTCGTTTTTTGCCCTCTGTTATGGTCCGCTTCCTTGTACCACGTGATAGTCCAAGGTAGAACCGATAAAGAAGAACTCGAACACAGATATGGAATAACACAGATATATTACAAACAGGAATATATACAGAGAAGTAGAAGAGTTAGTATGAACAATCAGGTTTATTAGAGAGAACAATGTAGTCTCGACCAGTATCACTGTTCAAATGTCTTGCAGTAATTGTCTGAACGTGACTCTGTTTCGGACTGCCTCTGACTCGACTCTTGACTCGACGAACTACTGGCTGACTGACGATATTCAGTCACCCACCTTCGGCGTAGCCTCCTTCGGGTTCCTCCCGTCCGTAGGAAGAGAGTTTAACCGAACAGTCGCTCAGAAAGTGAGAGACTGACTGACGATATTCAGTCACCCCCCCCCACGAGGGTGTCATGTGGCACAAAGCCTTTTTAACGTTTGCATTCCGAGCCCGTGGGCTCGTATAAACGGGTTCAGGGCCGGTTTTACCTCCCCGAAAGAGACTCCGCCCTTCGGCGTAGCCTCCTTCGGGTTCCTCCCGTCTGTAGGAAGAGAGTTGAACCTAACAGCCGGTCGAGAAAGCGACTGACTGACAGTATTCAGTCTCCCCCCCCCCCCACAGGGGCAAGATGTGACACAAGGTCGGTTGTTTATTGTGGGTTTAGCCGAGCCCGTGGGCTCGGCCCAAAAATATGCCCATTTGAACCCGCCTAAGCGGGTTCAGGGCCGGTTTTACCTCCACGAAGGAGACTCCGCCCTTCGGCGTAGCCTCCTTCGGGTTCAGTCAACCCCCCCCCACGAGGGTGTCATGTGGCACAAGGCCTTTTTAACGTGGGCATTCCCAAGCCATTAGGCTCGGTCAAAAAATAGCCCATCTGAATCCGTATAAACGGGTTCAGGGCCGGTTTTACCTCCCCGAAGGAGACTTCGCCCTTCGGCATAGCCTCCTTCGGGTTCCTCTACGTCCGTAGACAGGGAGGTGAACCGAACAGTCAGTCGAGAAAGCGACTGGCTGACGATATTCAGTCACGCCCCCACGAGGGTGTCATGTGGCACAAGGCCTTTTTAACGTGGGCATTCCCAAGCCATTAGGCTCGGCCAAAAGTAGCCCATTTTAATCCGTATAAACGGGTTCAGTGCCGGTTTTACCTCCCCGAAGGAGACTTCGCCCTTCGGTGTAGCCTCCTTCGGGTTCCTCTCCGTCCGTAGACAGAGAGGTGAACCGAACAGTCAGTCGAGAAAGCGACTGGCTGACTCCTTGCCTACTCCCGAGGCGCAGTATGTATTAAGTAATGAATAGTCCATTATTATTATTATTATGGGTAAGATCCTATAACACCCTCAATATGACATAATCGTTTGCGTTCCTTATTCACTGATTTCCTCTACGTCTCTTGCTGATTGTTTTTTTTTTACGCCTATCAAACATTTTCAGGTTATTTAAAGCCAGAAAAATGTTTGAATTGTAATTTTTTAGATGATAATTATTTAAAGATATATATCCTACTATTTAACCAGTAGCTGGAGAAGAGAAGGTGGATTCATACATTTCCCAGGGATATTTGAGTGTGAGTGAATATAACAAACCCGACTGGAATTGGAACTTGATTTCCAAGTTCCTAGCCGTTTTCCATTACATCGCCCGCACATCCAAGCTTGCGGCACCTGATATTCCCAACCGGTCACCGATCTAGGTACCAACCAGGCACGGCGTTCAGTGACCGATCGAGAACAGGTGTTTCAATGT